GAGATCATTCCGACATATCTCTTGTCTTTCTATACATAAATTGAAATTTCTTTTTTTCTACGGAAAACATGATGACCTTTCGCTAACTTAATTTTTTTTATATCTTGAGGTAACCCACCAGTTTCTCTAACTGTACCTCATATTCTTATCTTCCTGGAAAGCAAATGTTCTGCTAACTCAACACTATTATAATAGTTATCCATGTGAACATGGTACCAAATATTTTCATATTTATCTAAAAGATTTTTTACGAGATTTTGCAACTTTTGTCCACTTCCGTTGTAAAATTCGCATAACATTCTGACAAGTATACCATACTTAGTTATCTTGCTTGGGTTGTAGACTCGGAAACTTAAAAACTGATAAAAAACCACTTAAAATAAATCGACTGTTTGATGGCACAAAGCTATTCTGTCAAAAAACGTACTACTACGTCAGCGGTTACTAGATTTTAAATAAAAAATGACGTATTATTACGTCAGCGGCTACTGGATTTCCAACAAAAAATAACGTATTCCGCGTCAGCGCCTACTGAACTTCGGATAAAAAATGACGTATTACTACGTCAACAGTCAGTAGTTGGTTAAATAACCAAGAGACAAGGGGCGACCTCCCCTCGGATCACTTTATACGGATAGACAAACGGAGGAGGTGGGGCAAGGTTACTGATTAGTAACTATTTTTCTATGGATTAAAAAATTTGTTAGTGGTGTTTATAAGATTTTCGAAAGCTCGGGCTTATAAAATTATCCAGAAAATAACACTTTCAATACATTATATTATGACTAGGTTATAATAATATGGAATAGTATTACGCAAAGGGCTAAACATGTACAAATAACCAGAATTTATAATTACCATAACAAAAAAAAAATTGGTTCATTTTTGTGGTGGGCCTTCTCGCCGTTATATCGATACGAGCGCCGACGTGACTCTGAGTAAATGATAATTCGATTGAGCAAAAAAATTTCTCTCTAACGATAACGGGCAAATATCTTCGACACGACTCGTCGCTGTCCCGTCCTATCCAGCGATAATTGAAAATGATTGATTATTTATTCAATTAAGGTGAAATGCAACCGAAATAACGTACCGGCCGTTTTGCTTAATTAATGTCGGCCTTATTTGTCGCGCACGATCGCACGGAAACGCGAGAATTTCGTTGTTCCTTAGTAGAACATGTGTCTGACGGTTTTTTACCGCTAGGACGGCGCCGCGGGCCCCTTTGATCACACGAAAACCGAACCGAACGGAAAAATAAACTTTAAAATTTCGAAATTACCTGTTTTTCCATCTGCATCTATTTCGATATCGTTCGTGGTGATTTAATTTAAAAAGTATCGAAACTTTGCATACTTTGCTAACCACGTATGGACGTATGGTGAGTACGATTTGTGATGGCACAATTCACGACAGTCGTCACTAATAACCACGATTATATTACTAGGGAATAGGAGAGATAGAATCAGTTGGACTTGGCATTTATTAATTTAACTAGTACGTGCATGCTCAGAGATGAATTCATGGATTTTTTATGTAATAATATTTAAGTAGGTCTACTAGATCCCCATGAAGTAATTAATATGGTTAATAAAGTATTCTCCGAAAAATGGAAAATAAAAAAATATATTTATCATTCCGTATAAAATATACAAGTTTGTATTTGGGACATTCATAACAAGATTGCTTTCGAAAAATCGTAAGTGGGCGGGGCAAGTTCGTAGCGCGTAGCCAGAAGCAGCTTTTTATTATAAAAGGAAAGAAATTCGCGGTTTCGCATTGTTTTTCTATCGTGCTCTTGCGGACCACTATTCAACTTTCGCAAAATCGATGTAATTTAATTGTGCATGCACCCTGTATAAAATTTGGACAAATAATAGCGTTGTTGAATGATATTTTTTCAAATATCTCGCGCCCCGTATAATTGACGAAATCTGAAACTCTCTCACAAATAAAATTATCCCATCTTTAACCGTTTTTTATTTATCTCAAATAATTTATCCACAAAAACGGAAATTTTTAGGATATTTTAGTTTTTTTGGCCATAAACGGCACACCCTGCATATGATACAATTATTGTTCGAAGTAGAGGTTATAGCCCTGGATTTTCCATGCGTCGTGGTTCAAGAATTTTTTGAAAATAGTAAATGGTTTTCGAGAAAATAATTTTTTTCTGAAACCATGCACTGCGCCGTAATAATCATGACGTCATGGCGTCTTGCCAGCCCCCGAAATAGCAATTTCAATATGGATTTTTTCAAATATCCCGAGCGTCGTATGTGATAGAGGAAAACCGCAAATACAAAAATTGTAACTCTTGATGCGGCCGGTTTTCCTGTTTGAACCAATTAGCCATAATTTTTACGATTTTTGATTTGAGGCTAATAATTTACTCTGTAAAAGAACAATTTTTTTGCCTATAATTAGAAACCGCTGTATGTAATCGAATCTGCGTTAAAGAATTTTGCCAATCGGATAAACGAATATGGCGGAAAACATATTTTTCTGGAAGTTACCAAAAAAAAAGTTTCTAACATTTTTAAAAAATAGTTGGTAAAATTTGGTTGCACTCAATTTATACCGTTTAAATGCGGAAACAGACTTTTTCTTCTCTGCTAAATTTGAAGTCGATATCTGCAAATTTAGGACACTTAACATATTTCTCATTAAGCACGGAATATCGAGAACATTCTGTACAATATGTGAATACGTACGTTGTCGAATGATATTTTTTCAAATAATTGACGAAAAATGAAACTGTCTCTCGACAAAGTTTACGATACTGTTCAAATCAAGTTAGCAGTTTTGATTTATCCTCAATAATTTACCCACAAACACGGAAATTTTTAGGATGTTTTCGAATTTTTTGCCGATAAAAGACACACCCTGTATATAACTCAAACAATGTTCGAAATATAGGTTATGACCCTGGATCTGCCACGTTTCCTGGTATATAATTTTTTTTCCAATAGAGTAAGTGGTTTTCAAGAAACTAAACCATGCACTATGTGGTAACAGTAAAATCGCGTCTAGATTAATGGCGAGAAATGGTGATTTTTCTTTTGATTTTTTCAAATATCTCGAACAGCGTATGTTTTAAATACTTCCCGACCACCCAGCCTCTCCCAATTTCGATAGGTTCCATGAGCGGCCCAAAGCTATCCGCCTGAAAAATTTGAAGTCGAAAATTGAAAAAAAAACAACTGGTGTATTCTCTTTTTTCCAGTGTTCTTTTATTATACTGCCTTCCAAACAGATACTACTGCAGTATCACCGTGCTTTGCCTCACTTACAATACTTTTATTAAAAAACATTTTGGTAAGGATGAAATCTTAAAACTTCATGACCCATTTCAGAAGCATTATTTCGTCTGTAGCATACGCCAAGTTTGTTTTGCAATGTTTGACAATTTTTAACAAATAACATTTTAGACCATTTTCTGGGTAATTAATCCGCTTACTGGGTAATTGATAATTTCTTCTTTTCCTGTTCATTATCGATAATAATTAAAGACCGCCTTTCGAGTTTCGGCACCTTCCCCCTTGGTTTTATGACCAGCGACCATGTCATCGCAAACCGTAAAGACTATATTTATTTCATCTCTGCTCTAGGTGAGTTTAAGGGTCAATTTTAACAGTTTCCATTTTTATTAGCAGCCTTTTTTTAAATATAAAAATAGCCCACGCCTGATTTTGAATAATCGTATATAATCTATTGCATTACGAGAACAGTTGGCAAGTCTGTAAAACTCTGAATGTTACTTTATTATGCACGCACTCCATTTTTTTTTCAAATATCTCGCGCACCCTGTATGATAGTTGAAAACTGAAACTCTCTCACTCTCTCTCTCTCCCATCTTTTGCAAATTTTTCATTTACAACTAATATTTTACCAACGAAGACTGCAATTTTCAGGGACTTTTAGATTTTTTGCCCATAAACAACACACCCTGTATATATACGGTCTTGGATCTCCCACGTTTCCCGGCCAATGAATTTTTCCAATGAAGTAAATGGTTTTCAAGAAGCTACTTTTTTCTAAAGCTATGAAGTGCGCCGTAAAAGTAAATGACGTCATCGCTACAAAAATTGTAGCTCTCGATGCGACCCTCAGAACCAACTGGAACTACATTGCACGAATTTTGATGTACGGTTAATAATTTACTCTTAAAAAGGAGAATTTTCAAGGTCTTCTAGATTTATGTCCATAACTGAAATACCTTGTATATAATTGACAAAATGTTTGAAATAAAAGTTACAGTCCCGGATTTTCGAGATTTCCATGTTCAAAAATAACCAAAAAAAAATCTAAAATTAAAAAAAAAAACTAAGAGGGACTCGATCGCGCTCAGCTTCAACAGTTTAAATGTGGGTGTGCCAAATTTGAAGTCGATAGCTGCAAATTTAAGACACTTACTACGTTTTTTAATGTCGCACAAAACATCTTGAGCAGCCTGTACACTATTGGAAAACATTAAATACAAAAGTTTAGTTGTCCATACGGGGTGCATGGTGGTGTGAGAGAATCTGTCAACTGAAGCATAATTTTCTAGTTATGTTCAATTATCATTAAAAGTGAAACCCAATTTTCAGTTTACTTCGAATACCGGGCACACAACAACAAACACAAGACATTCAAATTTTAGTGAAATACAATAATTATTTATCTTATATAAAAATGCGTTTTTTTTTGACTGTTCCGTCAAAAAAAGCGCAAGAGTATATATAATTGGTAGCATATTCTATTATTTTCAACCAATTACAAAATCAATATTAATTTTTATGACAAAAATTATGTCAATTATGCTTCAATACGCATCAACACCAACTGTTAGCTTACTGATATTTGTGTTATTTACACCGTTGCTTAGCAACGATGTCTACGAGCCGCTGTACGCGTACTGATGAGCATGTGACTAGCTTTTCATTAAATCGAGACTCACTGCACATATTAAAAACTGCTATTTTTTCGGTTGTTTTTAATTATTTTACGTTACTTACTTGCATTCGCCGGGGTAATCGCACTTTCCATGAACTGGATGACACCCGGGTTTACAGACAGCTGAAACAAATGGATATGATTATTCGCAGTCGACAAAATAATGAAGTTAAAATGTGGTTGGATATATTGGGAACATATTTGACAACGCGGATGTGATAAGTGCTTGACTTAGTATAATGAGGAAGCCAATAATTTACCTCTTCGGCCTTAATTGCCACATTTTAAGAAGAAAATCTAGTATACACGAACTTTTATTATTAGCAACATATAAGAGAAGCTTTCCGTTGATAGAGACGGGGCACATCCTATAAAAATGCGAACATTATAAATACATTATTCTTGATTAGTTGAACTGTCTTATGTGGTAAAGAAGAAACAGAAAAGAAAATATATTGCTTCTTTTGGGATAAATCTGTGTAATTTACAGGCCCTGCAGATAGAATTTTCACTTTCACGCCACTGGTGGATATTCTGCTTGGAAAAGCTCAAGGACACAGTTATTTATGGTGATCTGAATACTCAATTTTTAATATTGTGCTTACTAATATTAATTAATGGTATATAATAAAATTACATATCCTTCTCGTAAAAACATTGCGATTGAAAAAAAAACTCATTTCAGTTTAAAAGTCAACCGAAATATTGGGTGTCAAATTTATAAAATAAATATGCAACTTAATTTAGCGGCCACACAAACATTAAACCTGTTTAGTACTTTAAGGAAGTTCGGTTTGGTCGTGAAGGGAATCTTAAACTTAAATTTGACTTACCAACATCACTAACTCTGTGCCAAAGGTTAATTATAATCTCTTTCATTCTATCTCACACACTTAAACCAGCATCGTAAGATTCGGTTTGATAATGATAGTTGAGAGGAATCCTAGAGTTAAAGTTGACTTACCAACATCACTAATCACGTGTCAATATTGAGTTAGAATCTCTTTCTTTCTCTCTCACACATACATAAAGATGCACCGAACTTTAGGAAGATTCGGTATGATCATGATAATTGACAGGAATCTTAGAGTTCAAATTGACTTACCAATATCACCAATCATGTGTCAAAATTGAGCTAGAATCGTTTTCTTTCTCTCTCACACATAATTAAACCTTCACCGTACTTTAGGAAGATTCGGTATGATCATGATAATTGACAAGAAACTTAGAGTTAAAATTGACTTACCAATATAACCAATCATGTGTCACAATTGAGCTAGAATCTCTTTTTTTCTCTCACACACTTAAACCAGCATCGCACTTTAGAAAGATTCGGTTTGATCATGAAACGAAGCCTAGAGTTAAAGTTGACTTACCGACATCAGTAATCCCGTGTCAAAATTGAGTTAGAATTTATTTTTCTCTCTCTCTCTCTCCCCCCCCCTCTCTCTCCCCCTCTCCCCCCCTCTCTCTCTCTCCCTCTCCCTCTCTCTCTCCCTCTCTCCCTCCCTCTCTCTCCCTCTCTCTCCCTCTCTCTCTCCCTCTCTCTCTCTCCCTTCGGTGAAGATGAAAAGGGTCCTAGAGTTAAAGTTGACTTACCAACATCACAAGTCGATCCTTTCCATCCCTCTATACACTCCTTATCACCATTAGCATCACAGATAAAATGGCCGAATTTATCGTCCCTCGGCCGGCAAAATTTTGTACACGTTGAATTGTAGTAGTGAATATCACATTTGACGCGCACCCTGTAGGTGAGGTGTGCACGCGGGCCCCGATGATTGAGGGTGTGCCACTCAGCGCTGGGGTCGATAATCCCCGAGTAGGTCGCCTCTTCGATTATATCGTTAGTGGCTGGAAAAAAACAAACAAACGGGGTTAATATTTTAGGGATTTTATCGATTACACCGGGAAACCTTTCAGTATAATAACGAACGTTTTGAGGCGGAATAAATAGATCAAGTAGAATATTAATTGAGTGATAGCTTATTGTGCAATTACTTATTTTATTAAAGAGTCATTGAGGCACATTTAAGATTTTCCGAAAGCTGTGCCAACTTAAAGCAAACAAAATCAGTGTGTTAAAAAAACAATTTTACTGAATGCTGTGCGCCGGAAGAGTCATACCAGGGGGAAGAGAAGCAGTTTTAAATTCTATTGATGAAAATCCTGAATGTAGAACTAGAAACCTCAGTTCAACATATAAGAATCGTTTATTATTTATCTTACTCTTAGAATGTTACGTTAAAACTGTAACAGTCTTTTTTTTTCTGAAGGACACTAGATATTTTGTTTTAGATAGATATACAGATATACAGTCAGTGGCACGCCACTGACTGTCTATTTATGTTTATTTTTTATTTATTTATTTATGCGAAAAAATGAAGAAATTAAATTTCTTTAGGAATGATTGGAGATTGTAAGAATAATTTTTATTTTAAGAGAAATCAGTGGCGTACCATCAATCTCTGGCAAAACAGACAGGTGAAATTCAGTACGCCCGCCCCTGGTGCATTAAAAAAAAAGTGATATACTAAATAATGCCATAGTACATGTGTGCCAAATTTTATTAAAATATGTGTATATAATGTTACGATTTTCTTTTTGTTTTTGTTCGTATGCCATTTCTCTTTTCATTTTTACCCTTGGGGGAGGTAGGTTATAGATCGATGGGGCTTATTAAACTGTGACAACCGCTACGCTCAGTCAAATTCCATGTTATAAAGTGCATCATTTTGATAGGTTCCGGCCCAATCAAAAATGAATCTTTAAATGCTACAAGCCTTGAGCAGATAATAACCATTTTTATCGTGGTACCTGAAGGCTGCTTGGTTTGTTAAAATATAGGATATGAGATCTTGCCTTGTACGTGTGTAGCATAAATAATTTTTATAGCGCTGCTAATACCTGAAATGGCTCGAATTACGACCAACTAGTAACGGACGGTGGGCGCGCCGAGGGTTGTAAACTCTCTCGGTTTCTAAAACTCCGTTTAAAAGCCGCATTTCCTTCGTTTCGGTGCTCGTTTGGAAATTTATTATTTGTTTTGAAGTAAACGAAAACAGCTGATGCATAGTACTGCGTACCCTATGCGCGAAACGGGTGGTGGTCACAGATCTGCAATAACTCAATTGGTTGCGAATAACGTTATATTTCCCTGGCGAAATTAAAGCATTGACCAGCGAATTGCTAGCTGTTGTCTGTGGGATATCGTTGTAATGGTGCTAGCGGCGATTGTTCTCTGGTCCCTTTTCTTTTTTTTGGCGGTTCTGGTGTTCTTTTTCCCGCCGGTAAGCAGCGTGCTTCCTGTAAGTTTTCCCTTGTCCAGGCTGTTTTTGTAAGGAGTCGCTTAAAGCTCACGCATATTGCGGATTTAGAGGGATACTGATAACCCTGATCTCCGGAATAAGTGGGTAAACAGACGTGGTCGTTTGTACCCCCGACTTGGTTGGATTTAGCGGTGGGAGGTTTTCAAGGATAACGCTCAACCTATAAGGCCACCTTACATCGACGGTAAGCCATATCCACTTACTATTTCGCGCTGTCGACCCGTAGTAATTTTTCGTTTATTCTCTTTAAGGCCTTCTTTTTTTTTTCTTTTTAATTTGACTTCCCGTATACTATTGCACTGCTCGTTGGATCACGTCAAGGATTGTTTTAAACACTTCACTCCTGGGGCTTCCTACTCACTATCCTCGGATTACGTCCACGCCCGGTCGCGGCCACAGATCGCACCAACTGGAGCTTGAGCCTGGTGGACCAAATTGTATATGGTTGCAGCAGACAAATAGTTGTAGAGAGAGTAAGGCCACTCGGCCCCGATCAGACGGTTCACAGATAAGTACCTACGCGCCCAACGCCCCTAGTTCCACGGATAGTTTTTATTTATTGGAATTTTAAAGCATGTAATGTCGAGAGCTCTGCGGCAAGCGTAATATTTGATGCCTGAGCGAAGGCTACTGTTTTTGAGTCTCAGGCCCTCCTCCCTCTTGGTTTTGAATAAAGTATTTGTTCGGAAATTGAGTTTCACTCGCCTACTCGGCCCACGCCTCACCGAGAATTGAGACAGCCGAGCAGCTGCTCGTAAATTTTGTTAATAAGTAACAATAAGTGGTATTGCAGGTATATATTTCATTTTTGAAAACTTTACCACCCTGTATCTCAAAGTTTTCTATTTAAAATGGACGGAAAAATCGCCCCCTTAATGACATTCAATTAGAAAACACCCTGTATATATATTTTCTTTATTTATTGCTTGGTTTGGATATAAACTATATGTTTAGAAAGCTTCTAGAAGAATACAAGGAATGGGGTCTGGAAATAAATGCGCATGTACATGGCTATTGGAATAAACTATTATCCACACAAATCAGTATAAGTACTATAACATCGGACGGAAGAGACGAAGTGGACGTACAAAACAATGGAAAATGTCCAGGCTATTAAATTGTGGTCAGTTTTCTTTGCGTGTTTAAGTCTGTTGTTGTAATAGGATTTAAGTCCTTTGTATTTTTTATTATATAGATCGTTTTTTATTCTTCTATTTATTTGATGCATCTCGTGTACCGCACGACTCAGATCTCTTAATTCTCTGATGATGATATATATATATATATATATATATATATATATATATATATATATATATATATATATATATATATATATATATATATATATATATATATATATATATATATATATATATATATATATATATATATATATATATATATATATATATATATATATATATATATATATATATATATATATATATATATATATATATATATATATATATATATATATATATATATATATATATATATATATATATATATATATATATATATATATATATATATATATATATATATATATATATATATATATATATATATATATATATATATATATATTATAATATATTTACTTTCTTGTTCCTCTTCTTTTTGGCACATAATTTATCTCAATTGGTGTATTTTTAAGTTTACTTACATAAACCAGACTTTAGTTTGATTCACCAGGTTTAAGTTTATATAGTCTCACATTTATACTTCCATTATTATAGATAATGCAAGATAAAGTTTAAAAAACTTCACCCAGAGTATTCTCAGTGCGACTGTAGACACCGAACGAAATTTGTAGGTTAAATAAAACGGAAAAACAAAGGAAAGATGAATACCGATTGTGATCTGGAAAAACGGAAACGCGATTGTCTCGTAAATCGCCGGTATCACGAAAGAATGTCTCGGCAGCGCTAATTTGATTGCATGCTAATAATCGTAATTAAATACATATTTTCTTCCGTCGGGCGATAGCCGCGATAGTTGCCAACAATTACCGCAATTTTCCAATAATTGTCTCATGCAGAATGTGGCCGCTGCAATATCCCGATCGGAATCCCACGTTAATACGGATTATTTTTATTTGCCGAAGGCCGCTGCCGCATTTTTTCCATTCAAATGTTGTTCGGTGACGTAACCGCAGAAGGTCATTTATAACCGTTTTTCAATAAAGAAAGAATTAAGAAAAATCTCATAAAATTTTCTCCGGGTATGGTTCATGGTTCATGGTTTATTCGTTGATCATCTCGAAACCTCGTCTGCTTATAAAACTTTTCGTAAATCTAGTTTCGCTTCATCATATTTGTAAAGAAATAAGCCCAATCAATAAGACTCTTCTGTCTCGACATCTTATCCCCCATAAACTTTCGATACCCTTTCGAATATGATTCGTGACAAAGTTGAAAATCTACGTTTATCTTCTACAGAAAATCACATTCAAAAATTTGAAAAACAAACTAAAGCTATTTGAGACTGCACAAATCCTTAAAATTCCACACCTACTAAATCTAATACTCCAAAGCCTGAAGGCATTGCTCTAAAATTTCTAAAATCTAATGCCGATGTAGTTCCAAAACAAACGGATGTTATCGTCAACTTAACCCACTTTTCTCATAGTGGTGCGTTAATGCACCACCTATTCTATGATTTAATTTGTCACATTCAGGAAATGTGTTTCAACATCCATTTAGAAATTTTATTATTATCACTACTAAAGGGCTAAATTCATCAACCTGAACCTGAATGGGACTCATCAGATGACGAAACCCTGGAATTCAAAAGAAGACGTATGCTTTCTGCAAATGACAGGCTTGCTTCTACTGTCAAATTCATTTCATATGCTAAGGACACCCATCTGTTACACAGATTAAACTCAACTAATTATGATAACGTCAAAGCTAATCTTAGCTTGGTTCTTAAAAATCTTCCTCGATATAGTAAAAAACATCATCTTGAGCTAAATTATAATAAATAATATCAACTGTCGTAATAGTATAACAATTTACCTTGAAAGCAAAGTAATATATTGAGGTCTTCAACAAAAATTTTTTCTATTGTCTCGGTCTTCCCTGTGACACTATTTCGGTGCTCAAATTGTATTTAAATAATAGAACTAATACCTGGTATATCAGATTTGAGTAACGTTACTTCGGGAGTGCCGCAGGGTTCAATTCTCGGACCTCTGTTGTATCTCTTATATGTCATATGCTGATGACACCCATCTGTTACACAGATTTAACTCAACTAATTATGACAACGTCAAAGCTAATCTTAGTTTGGTTCTTAAAAGTCTTTCTCGATATAGTAAAGAACATAATCTTGAGCTAAATGATAATAAATTATGTCAACTGTCGTCATAGTATAACAATTTACCTTGAAAGCAAATTGAGACATAAAACAAAATTTCTTTCTATTGTCCCGGTCTTCCCTGTGACACTATTTCGGTGCTCAAATTGTTTAATTTTCTCGGTCGTATTTAAATAATAGTCAGAACAAATACCTGGT